AGAGGGAAGTTATCTTTAGTTAACATCTTTGTCTTTTATCTGATAAAATCCCATTTACAGGGAAATTGTAATTTTTGGGTGATGCTCAAGGAAACATTTAGTTATATATTCAGCTATAAAACACATTGTTGTAGCTTTGCTTGTATAAATCTTCAGCAAAAGCAAATGATGACAATTCTTCCTGTCCAACAGTGTTTTGTTGCTGCATCAGTTTTATTTATGCTTCCACTGTTGGTAGTAAATATTCTGTAGTGGCCCGACAGGAATGCAGACTTCGCGTAGCCAGAAATCTGCAGCTGTTGGCTTTTCTTGTTGAACATATTCTAGTTGGGTACAAAACGGAAAGAAGTGGTATGGTCAGCTGGCACGTCGTCTTTTATGAACCATTAATGGCTCTCAGGTAGTCGTACACCTGTGATCTGATATTTGTTTAGTCAGTGGCCTGATGCTTTTTACATGTCGGATGCAGTAAAGAAGGAAAAGCAGTTTGACTAGAAACAGGCGGTCAGTGAGTTTTTAGACGTTTGTCGATGTAATGAGCTGACTCATCTGTAAACGTTCAGATTTTTTAGCAGTAGCCTGTAATGTGTGGAAACCAGCAGGAGTTCAAAGTCCTGGAAGTGTGAGAGATGAATAAAACGGCATAAATGAGAGATGTAGGGAACGTTGTGGTCATGCATTTTCATATTGACGTAATAAACCATTGTGTTGTACATATTGGCAAAGTGCAGCGAACATATTTTTTTTTTTTTAGAGCGTTGTCACATTCTTGTAATTATAGAACTTTGTTTTTAAACTGTTAGAAGCATCTGTCTGGTCATTTAATCCCTTCAGTCGTTTCTATATTTGCAGAATAATAAAATGCTACATGCATGGATTTACCCGCATCACTGATTTTTTTTTAAACAGATATAAAACTTGTTATAACGCATGGAAACTAAAGAGCAGCTACAAGTAATTTACCAAAGTGAAACTGCTTTATATGCATAAAGTAAAACTAACGTTCGATTTAAAGATCAATGCAAAAATCAACACAGACATGTTCCTGTGTTTAGTATTTTACAGCGTTTTATAAAATAGCTTGTTTATGCTGTATTTTTAAATCATTTATTTTATTTACTTTATATTTTACTTGATTGTCTATTGTTGTCTGTACCTCATCTGTGCTCTTTGATAAAACAGGTCTCTTGAAAATGAGTTCTCGTGACTCAATGAGACTAACCTGTATAAATAAAGGTTGAATGAATGATTATATTTTAGTTTTCTGACATACATGTCTTTTTCCCAATTGCAAATGTTTCTTTCAAAGCAACGTATTTTAACAGAAATGCTCTTTGTGTCAGATTTAGATAAAAAGTTAAATATCAGGAATGGGATTCTTCAGATGCCTCACAATTACGATGCACAGGGTTACATTTACAAAACGATTATTGATGCATTTTGATGTCTTAAAACATAAATAACTGGCTTATTTTATGTAAATAAACCATGTTTCATATATAGGTTATGCATTATAAGCAGTGCACAATAACATGCCAACAAAACCAGTCCGACCTTTGACCCAACTATTAGCATAGAGGCTAACCTGATATTGAAAATCCCATAGAAAAGCTAACAGGATTAGCATTGTGTTTTATCACTGTGAATTTATACATTGTCGTTTCCAAACGTAAAGACAGATGTGTTATTGATTACTTTAACACCTATTTACAGTCATTTATTCTTCAGGGTTCAGCTGAAAAAAGACGTGGAAACAACTTACATGCGTCTATTATATGAAGCTACAGTGACTACCGGTACATACACATGTGGCACCAAAAGCAGCTACTTTGCAGATTATTATTGACAAAATCCATCCATCATCTTTACCCACTTCTTCCTTTCTGGGTCACTGGTGCTCATGTCAAGCAGTTACTGTTTGTAGGCGGGGGACACCCTGGACAGGTCTCCAGTCCATCACAGGGACACATAGAGACAAACAACGATTCACTCTCTCACTCACACCTAAAAACAATTTAGAGTTACCAATTAGCTGAACATGCATGTTTTTGGTCTGTGGGAGGAAACCGGAGTACAGTAGTCCCTCATTTATTTCAGGGGATCCGTACCCTGAAGCCCCCGTGATAAGTGGAAAAACCGCAAACTAGGAATAGTAGTACAAGTAGTAATTAGTAGTTTATTTTAGTATTCATATTCCCACACTCTTGCAATATTTTAAACAATGTTTCTAAACTCTATAAACGCTCTAAAAAAAAAAACCAGTGTCATAATTTCAGCTCTGCCTCCTCTCAGCCACGGCTGCATTGTGCGCTCTCGGCCACGCCCACTTCTTGGCAGCACGCTGTGCTAAATAACTTAAAATAATTTATTTTAAATAAAAATTCCATGCCGATTGTGCGGCTCATCCATCAATTAGCCAATTGTGTGTCACGTCCAATCTTATTTTGAAAAACCACGATCGAGCGAAAAGTGAACCGCGAAGTAGCGAGGGACTACAGAGAGAACCCACGCATGCCAGAGAACATGCACACTGCACCCAGAAAGGTCCTCGGCCGGGATTTGGTCCGGCATCCTTCTTGCCAAGAGGCCTTCTTTGATATTTGAAAATCAGTTCAGTATCTTCCGTGCTGTGACGCGTCTAAATATAAACTACACCAAAAAACAACATTTAGCTTAATTTCCCTTCTTTTGTAAATGAGTCCTCACGACTCAGTGCGAGACTAACCTGAATAAATAAAGGTTGACTGAATGAATGAATATTTTTTATTCTTAGTAAATTCATAGAAGAAGGATTTCCTAATCCAAAGGACTGTATGGATATAATTATCTAGGGCACTTTTTATGTAACACATCTCTCTCAACATGTCAACTCATGAATGAATTGTTTAAATACATTTGCAGATCTAGGTGAGATCGTTAAAAAACACTTAACAAGACTTCCTGGAAGTTTCTACTGGACTATTGCGGCGTCTAAACCTCGTGTTTTATTTCTTTTCACTGAAACCATGTATATGATGGTGGCTGTTAAACTTGTAATTGCACATACCATCAGTTGTAGTCATGCGTCTACAGCCGGGGTGATGTAGGGAGTGGATGATACTCTGCCACTTGTAGTTTCTCTCAAAAGGTTCGTTTTGGGCTGTTGTGCAACGTTGTGCTAATGTTGACGTTGCAAACCCAGTCGGAATAATCATAAGACATTTGCTTTGTGGTTGGTGTTGGTTGAATGTTTAGTCGTATTTTCTTTTATTGCAGTTTCAGTTTCATTTTTTGCTACATAAAACTATTGAATTTCCTTTATAACTCTTATCACCTGCTTCATTTTAAAGCTCCCAGTTTCTGCTGCTTTTAAAAAAAAACATTTTAATCAAACTTTCATGTATTGTTCGTCCCACCAAACCGTTTGAAACTAGTAACTTGTTTGAACCTGCATGTTGTCTCGCTTTGGTTTTTGTTGTGATCCTTGGACAAAGAGTCAAATGATGCCACATCACATGGCTCCTACCTTGTCTGCAGCGGTCCTGTGACCATTTGCATCACAGTTCTGCAGCACCGCTAATGTTCACATCATGTCCGTGCTCCGTGAGAGGTGTGTGTGATGATCAGCCAAGCTGCACAGGCTCTGATTGAGACCTGCTTAATGTCTGTCTCGCTGCATGGATTAGTCCAGAATCACATTTGATTGGAGGATTTGATGGTTTGGCCTAAAAACAGGGCGAACCACGGGGCAGTGAACCGATCTTCTGCCTGGCTCTGGTCATGTGAAAGTGGCAGCCATCTTATGCCTTTAAAGTGTAATTAAAATGCAAATGTGTGGTGGAAATTTACAGCCTGTTAAATTGTTTCCTTCCAGCTGGTGTTAATTGAGGGTGTGAGAAGTAGGGGCTGGCTTTTTGTGGTGAAGCCACGAGTTAAAAAGGAATAAAAGCCTAAATTTAATTGTAAGTTTAGGATACGCTGACAGTCATGATGCAGTTTTTGTGGGGAATAAGCACAGTAGATGATATTGGAGGCTAATGATTGTATCAAAAATAAAAAAGCAGGGACTAAACAATTGTGCAGATGCTATAACTTAAGCACACTACGTGCACAGTGCAGGTCTTAAATCAGATGCTTTGCTCAGATCAGATGTATTTGTGGTCGTACACATTATATTATAAATTAGATTGTCGTCGGCCTCACAGAGACCCACGTGCACAGAGTCATAACGTCACAGGCAGCACGCTGTGCTTATAAAGTAAATATGGAGGCTTCACGTTAGCATGTGCGTGCTGAAGTTGTTAGAATTGATTAAATTATCTGGCATTAGAGGTGGGCGATATGGCTCAAACGAAATATTTTGATATTTCAGAGCATTCTGACGATAACGATAAATTTTGTGATATAACAAAAAACATGAATCATAGTTATAGAGGAGATCTGCATGGAGGAATGAGCCAAAAAAGCAGCTACAATTAACCTCCGTCTTGTCGAAGCTCCAAAATTTACAGTTGAAACCCGTGCCTTCGTCTAAAAACTTGTTTTTCTCTGCAAAAATAAGCTCAGAACTTGTTTACTGATGTTTGTAATTAAAAACTTTGTGTGAAAAATGCTATGCTAAAGAGCTCAAACCACACCGAGAATCAGCCATTTTGAGAACCATTTTTCTTTAAGAGACGTGCTGCTCGCTCCCTCACTATCCATCCTTCGGTTCAAACAGTCTTATACTGCCATCCGGTGGTCTAAAAAGGTGCTACACGCTAAACAAATAAACATTTTGTTTTTATTAAATTTGACAATAAATTTGACAAACAATATTATCGTTTATCGCGATAATTTTTGAGACAATTAATCGCCCAGGAAAATTTATCGTGACAGGCCTAGCCACAATAACTGCGGTGTTCTCATCACAAAGGCATTGTGGGACTCTGCAGCTATGAAGGCGTGTGTAGGTGTCGGTTGAACACCCGCTGTCCTCTGTCCACGCCGCTCTGAAGGTCTTGTGACTCTTCTCGTTGCAGGCAGACAAACGGGCACATCACAATGCACTGGAGCGCAAACGTAGGGACCACATCAAAGACAGCTTTCACAGCCTCCGGGACTCGGTACCCTCCCTGCAGGGAGAAAAGGTTGGTAAAGCTCAGCCTGTAAGTTCCCCTGGCACACCACTCATATTCACACACTTTTACACTCTGGATTGTTTGTGTTGCTTTTCTAATGTGCATGTTATAGTAAATCATAGTGAGGGAAAAATCTGTGACTTCACGTGTTCATCAGAGAAGGGAGGTAGCTGAAGAGCTGGGGAAAGGAGCAGATGGTGGGAGAGTGCAGACTGGCAGCAGCAAGGCACTGATGCAGTCTAAATACTTGGACTGGTGTCAGGAAGCTATTATGAGAATATTTTGCTGATCTCTTCCTGTTTTGACATCAGTGAAATTGAGAAGATTTGGACTCAATTCAGTGTCTTGGCATGCAGTTTTTATTTTCCCACACACACAAAAAGCCACTAAATAACCTCAGACTGATGGGCTGGGCTCGATGAGATAACGGGAGGGGTATTGGCTGATAATTTAAGACATTTTAAAAGCATTTTATGTCTTTATCCACCTATTCTCCATAGAATTTTCTGCAAATTCTGCATTGCTTTGACAGCAAATTTGAGCTTTGTTTGGAAATTGAAATGCTCTGCTATAAGAAGCACTTATCAGTTTATAATTTTAGCAGACATGTATCCTGTGAAAGTATAAAGAGAAGGCTGCATTTATTTAGAGACGAGCTAAATGATTGTTTATCAGAGCTGACTGGCAGCCAGCACTCTGTCAGGGTTCTGACCCGTCCTGTCGGACCGAAGTGCGATCAGTTTGAGGGGTTTATAGAAGGAGAGCCAGCGCTGTCCCAGATTCCCTGCAGTCTCCTGCGGGGGGGGGTTCAGTCTGAGCAGCTTGTTGTCAGAAACAGGATTTACTGTGTGACAAATGTGATGAAGCCTGTGTGTATTCTTGTGTCATCGCTTCACTTTCTGCGTGTGTCAATAACAGCCGTCTACCAAACAGGCATCTCGAGCTCAGATCCTAGACAAAGCCACAGAGTACATCCAGTACATGAGGCGGAAAAATCACACGCACCAGCAGGACATCGACGACCTGAAGAGGCAGAACGCTCTGCTGGAGCAGCAAGGTAACGGCCGCTGGGCTTCAGTCTCCTCCGGCTGCTGAAGAACTCGGTGAATTCAGTGTCACCCCGTCCGCTTCTATACGACATGCTCACAAGCATGAAATGAACATTAGGTGACGTAGTAGAACTCCGTAAATATGTTGCGTCTTTTAATGTTTAAATATCAGCTTCATGACATTTTAAAAAGTACAGTAGTCCCTCGATTATCGCGGGGGTTACGTTCTGGAACACCCCTGAAATAAGTGAAAAACCGCAAAGTAGAAACGCTGTTTTTATTTTAGTATTTTTTTTAACTGACACTTAAGTAAAGTTGACGTTGATTTCCGAGTTGAAATATACCAAAACAGTTGAGTCAGCTAATACATTTAAATCAATTAAGCAAAAGTTTATTAATCAAGATAACTAGTGACGAAGCCCACGATGTTCTAAACTCTTAAACCTATGTAATTTTTAACAACATGCGTATATGTACTGTACAGTACTGCAAAATTTTACTCACCAGCTCTGCAGAACACAGCGGCTCAGTTCTGGTCCGGCTCGATTCCGGTCCAGCAGATCTGCCCTGCTGGTTCTAGTCCGGTTCTGGTCGGCTGTCTGCAGCCCTTGAGCACCAAAACGCTTTTGGAGGGAGCCGGACCTTCGGATGGCGCCTCCTCACTCGGGAGTCCTTGTGGGTTGGTGAGCGGCACTCAGATTGACCAATGAGTCTGCAGGTCCAGTTCTGGTCCAGTTCCCGTTACGTGCAGCTCTCTGCATCCACTGGGCGCCGAAGTCACTATGAATAAGGACCGAACTTTTTCAGATCGGCTCAAAACTTTCCCTCCATTTCAGCAAAAGGCAACGGCTGGCAACAGGCAGCATTGGGGCTTCTGGGTAATGTAGTCATTTTGAGTGGCGATACAGTGTAGGCTTATTGAGAGAAAACTACAAAATGGCATCGCATGTCCGAAGTATTTTTTTCATTAACATTTTACTGTATCCCTACTGTCACGATCATGTGATTAATATTAAAGTTGACGATCGTGTGCCGTGTAGAATCTTACGTTGAAAAAAAAAACGCGAAAGAGCGAGTCCACAAAAGTTGAACCGTGAAGTAGCGAAGGACTACTGTAACATGTCAACCACTAACTTTTGTGACTTTATTTTCATCAAGAGCCAAACTTAGTGCCTTAACCCTTCTCCACAATTTTAATTTTAATTTTGGATATATACATGCATCCCTTTAAATTGTTGTCAGCTCATGTTGTTTTCGTTGTTCAGTCCGCGCTCTGGAGAAAGTGAAGGGCTCTGCGCAGCTTCAGACCAGCTACTCGTCGTCTGACAGCAGTCTGTACACCAACCCCAAAGGCAGCGCTGTGTCTGCGTTTGACGGCGGCTCCGACTCCAGCTCCGAGTCCGAGACGGAGGAGCCTCCCACCAGGAAGAAGCTGCGCATGGAGGCCAGTTAAGAGAGCTGATCAGCCCAAACCTGGCTGTGGGTCGGTGTCGCACAAGGAAGGGCGAGAGGGATTCATCGTCCAAAGCTCTCAAAACGACCTTCACCCCCTCGTGCCACAACGCACCCCCCATAGTCTCCCTCGTCCTTTTCTTTCCATCTCCTGCTGGGCTCGTACCGGAGGCTCGTGTGTCATGAAATCTCACACCGCCGCCACAATCGTTTCGACTCCTCCATCAGCGGAGGAGAGGAAGCAAGCAGGGAGGAAGACGACCGCTTCGGTCTATCTAGAGAGCTTCAGGTTTCCCCAGATTCCCCCATCCCTCTTCTTCTTTTAGTTTGTTTCTTCATCATCTGTGCCCCAACCCGTTTTCTCTCTTAGCAACAACTACAATCCAAAACTCGAAAAGAGGCAGCTTGGTTACTTAAAGACTTGATGCTCTTTTGTACCCGCAGTTAAGCCCCTCCTCCTCCTCAGGTCGATGTTTGGGCAGGAGGAAGAGCCAGGTGTACTCTTCCAAGCACTGCTTTATTATTAAATATTTTTGTTATTGTAAAAAAAAAAAAACTGTTTAGAATTTACACACCAACACACACACCTAGATAAATTGTCCTGGAAAAAAAAAAAGTACCTTTTTAAAATGTAAAAAAGTAAATCTCAGTAGTTTACTTTTGTTTTTCCACTGACGAATGTGAAGATGCATTGAGCAAATGTTTGTGACTCCCACCTCAGGCCCACTGGATCGCAGATGGTATCTGCCCGACACATTTAACACAAGATTCTATATAAATGGAAAAAAGTCCTTTTGTTGAAATTGATGTTTTGAAGGAGAATATTCCTGAACTTGTATCGTATTTTGTCCTTTAGCTTGAAGTAGTGAATGACTTTAGGAGGCTGAATACTTTAGGCATCTCATTTTTATATATTATACAAGGCATTGATTGGATGTTTTTCAAGATTATAAAAGTATGTTTTGCATTTTGTAGTATTAACAAGAGTCATGGAGAATAATGCCAGTTTGTCACATGTAGGTTTATATTATTTTTTTGAATGTCCAACAGTAGCTCCTGACGTTTGCAGGCATAATGAGTCCCTGTCCATGTGTTGTGCTTTACACAGTAAAAATCAATGTTGCTGAACCCCCCCCCCCCCCCCCAAATGAGAAAAAAAAAGATGCATTTTTGGCGTCTCTAGGAAACGTGTGTGTATATATATTGTTTTCATTTTATTTCCAGTTAGGAGGATATAAGTAGTGTGGTAGGTCTTTATTTGTCTGATTCCATTCCATGGAAATTACAAGTATGTTGTACATACTGCCAACAATTGTCTTGCAAGTTGAGGCCTACCTTTACTATGAGACTATAAAATAAACTATTTTATCCTTTAAGAGGCTACTCGTGGTGACTGAGCTCTTACACAAGAGTGACAACATAACTACGGTTTGAAAATAAAAAGCAAAGGTTTATTTTGGGGTTGACTCCAAAGATGGCCGTCATATCAAACACGTTTGCTTCAACTTATCCAGTTTTGCAGATATCAAGCTGAAAGTTTGTGTGGTAGTAGCTGAGAGTCATCCACAATGCATTCTCCGATCACGAACACCTTATAATATCTTGCAGAAGTTAACGCACAAAACCGCCATGAAGGAAATCTCCACCTTTAATAGATTTGTGTGGTTCTGGTTCAGCAAGCAAGTAGAATTACTGGACTTTTTAAACTGACCCAAACTGTAAAAATGTTGACAATGTAAAAAAAAAATCTAGAAAAATTTTGGATTTGATTGATTTGCCGATTTTTGGTTTTACGTACACATTTAGGAAAATCAGGTTCACGTCTTTCATCTCTGCTAGGAATAAAATCAAGTTCTTTTGGCAGGTTCTAAAATTGTCTTGATTTGGCTATTTCTTTTTTTTTTGTTTCACAAGTGGAAAATTAAATCTGGAGCCAGTTCCAAATGTGTTCTGTTAATATTGTCCTAATCAAAAAAGTCCATGCTCAATAAGCCAGGTATACAATCCAACAATTTTCAGTCTGGTCATCTGGACAGTTTTTTTTTTTTTTTTTTTTTTATGTGAAACATTTCACCTTCCATCCGGAAGGCTTCACCAGTCCAGGCTGGCTCCAGAGGAGGGGGTGTGCCAAAGACACCATCTTAGCACCAACATAACTGGTTTGTTCCACTTTGGAGTAAGCTGTTGGGGGAAGAATCAGTTTTGTGTTGTGTGTTTCCTTGACTTCTGGATGGAAGGTGAAACGTTTCAGAAAAAAAAAAGCAACTGTTCAGATGACCTGACTGAAATGTTTTGGATTGTCCTAATCAGTTTAGTTTATGTAGTTCCAATTCACAAAACAATTGTCTCAGAGACCTAAAAAGAAACCATTTGAATCAAATCCAGATTCAAATCTAGTTACAGCCATTTGAATTACAGTATGTAAATTATTTTATTCTACTTCCTGAGGGCCCACCACCTGCAGGAAAGGCTAAATGAGTCAGGTGCATGATTCGGGCAGTGGTGGCTGAAGGTGGGGCATTGGGGCTCTGACCCTTGCTTACCAAAGCTGGCTCTTGGGACATGGAATGTAACCTCTGGTGAGGAAGGAGGCCGAGTTTGTATGAGATTAAGAGGTATCAACTAGATATAGTTGGGCTCACCTCGATGCACAGCATGAGCTCCGGAACCAATCTATTTGAGAGGGGCTGGACCTTATTCCACTCTGGAGTTGCCCGTGGTGAGAGGCACCAAGCTGGTGAGGGTCTACTCTTAGCCCCCCAACTTGGTGCCTGTGTGATGGAATTTTTGCCTCTAGTTGAGAGGGTAGCTTCCCTGCGCCTTCGGGTTAGGGAACAGACTCTTGACGCGCCAAATGGCAGTTCAGAGTATCTGGCTTTCTTTGAGTTCTTGGCGGGAGTGCTGGAAGGTGCACCAGCTGGGGACTCATTTATTCTACTGGGGGACTTCAATGCCCACGTGGGTAATGACGGTGTGACCTGGATGGGTGTGATTGGGAGGAACGGTCTCTCTGAGCTTGAGCAGTGTTCTGTTGTTGGACTTCTGTGCTAGTCATGGTTGTCCATCACGAACACCATGTTTGAACATAAGGGTCTCCATAAGTGCACTTGGCACCAGGATGTCCTAGGTCATAGATCAATGATTGACTTTGTAGTTGTGTCATCTGATTTGCAGCCGTTTGCTTTACACACTCCGGTTAAGAGAGGAGCTGAGTCAGCTGATCCCCACCTGGTAGTTGGATTAGATGGTGGGGGAAGATGCCGGATAGACCCCGTAGACCCAAACATGTAGCGTTTGCTGGGAATGCCTGGCAGAAGAACCCATCAGGCAGCTCTTCAGCTCACATCTCCAGGAAAGCTTTAATCGCTTTCCAGCTGAGGTGAGGGTCATTGAGTGAGTGGGTCATAGTCCGTACCTCAATTGAGGTGACTGCCTTGTGCTGTGGTCACAAAGTTGTCGGTGCTTCTTGCGGTGGCCGTTCTCAAACTCTGTGATGGACACTCGGGAAGGAGGATTCCTATCAGGCGTTGTTGGCTGGTGGGACTCCGGAAGCAGCTGAGGAGTACCAAAGGGCTAAATGATTTGCAGCCTTGGCTGTTGCTGAGGCAAAAGCTCGAAGCTGGGAGGAGTTCGGTGAGGCCTTGGATAGAGACTTTCGGTCGGCTCTGAAGAGATTCTGGTAAACCATCAGGTGACTGAGAAGGGGAAAGCTGCGCTTTTCTAAGACTGTTCAGTGAAGGTCGGGTGCTGTTGACCTCAACCAGTGATGTTGTCGAGAGGTGGAAGGAATACTTCTCGGACCTTCTCAATCACGATGGCACGTCTTCCATGGAGCAAGCTGAGTCAGGGGACTGTGGGGCTGGCTTGTCTATAACCGTGGCTGAGGATGCTGAGGTAGTTATAAAGCCCTGCGGCGGCAGGGCTCCGTGGGTGGATGAGATTCACCCTGATTTCCTTAAGGCTCTAGGTGGTGTGGGGCTGTCTTGGTTGACACGCCTTTGCAACATTGCGTGGACATCGGGGACAGTGCCACTGGATTGGCAGACTGGGGTGGTGGTTCCCCTCTTCAAAAAGAGTGACCAGAGGTTGTGCTCCAATTACAGGGGCATCACTCTCCTTAGCCTCCCTGGTCAGGTCTATTCAGGAGTACTGAAGAAGAGAGTTTGAGTGTTGGTTGAACCTCAGATCCAGGAGGAACAATTATTTCCTGGCCGTGGAACTGTGGACCTACTCTTTACCCTCACTAGGATCCTTGAGGGGTCATGGGAGTTTGCCCATCCAGTCTACATGTGTTTTGTGGACTTGGAGAAGGTGTTTTGACTGCATTCCTCAGGGGGTGCTCTGCGAGTACGGGATTGGGGGCCCGTTGCTACGACTGTTCAGTCCCTATACAAGCAGTGTGAGAGTTTGGTTTGCATTACTGGCAGTAAGTCAGACCCCTTAAGGTTGCACGTGGGACTCTGCCAGGGCTGTCCGTTGTCACTGATGCTGTTCATTACTTTTATGGAGAGAATTTCTCAGTACGGCCAGTGGGCAGAAGGAGACCGGTTTGGTGGCTTCAGGATTCCATCTCAGCTATTTGCAGATGATGTGGTCCTGTTGGCGTTATCGTGCCGAGATCTCCAGCTCTCACTGGAGGGGTTCACAACTGAGTGTGAAGTGGCTGAGAGAGAATCAGGACCTCCTGAGGCCATGGTCCTCAGTTGGAAAAGGGTGGCTTGCCCTCTCCAGGTCGAAGGTGAGGTTCTGCCTCAAGTGGAGGAGTTCAAGTATCTCGGGGTTTTGTTCACGAGTGAGGGAAGAATGGAGCGTGAGATTGACAGATTGGTGCAGTATTGCAGACTGCTGGTTCGTTGTGGTGAAGGAGCTGAGCTGTAAAGCAAAGCTCTCTGTTTACTGGTTGGTCTACGTTCCTACCCTCACCTATGGCCATGATGTCAGGTCAGGGCAGCAGCTTGAGCAGGGAGGGAGCAGGGCCCAGACATCTCTTTCCACAGCCACCTCTTCTGGGAGGACTCAAAGGTGCTCCCAGGCCAACCGAGCCATAAGTCTCTCCAGCGTGTCCTGGGACCTCCACAGGGTCTCTTCCCAGTCAGACATGCCCGAAGCACCTCCCTAGGGAGGTGCCCAGGAAGCATCCTTACCAGATACCTGAACCACCTCAACAGGATGAGCAGCGGTTCTCCGGATAATTGAACTTCTCACCCTATTTCTAAGGGAGAGTCCAGCTACCCTGTAGAGGAAACTCATTTCACCCACCTGTATCTGTGATCTCGTTCTTTCAGTCACTACCCTGACTTCAGAACAAGCGGAAGATGTTGGATGGAAGATATTTTACTCTAATGGTTATTGCAGATTATACAAAACACTAATTGGTAGATGTCATCCAAGGAAGTAATGTTAAAAATCCTCCATGCACTAATAACTGATTCATGGGGAAAAAAGTCTGAATTAAATTGAAGCACAATTATGTGCTTAGTGGAAAAAAATCTAATGGTATTTAAAGTATCACATCTTAGCATTATTTTCATACGGATTACTCTTAAGATATAAGTCCTGATGCATGCTGAGATGTATTATGTTCGAAAACATCTATTAACTAATAAAATGAAGGTAACAGTTTAATTTGTGGCAGAATTATGGTTTTAATATATGAGGGGGAACAGCCGAGTTAAAAAGTCAAATGTGGACAAGATGAATTCAGAGACCAAAAAAGTTGAATGACCCCAAAACACAAAGCGTCCTAAAAGCCCTGACCTGAACATCTAAAGACCCACAGAGAAATATCCATCCTGGGCAGCTGCAGGTAAACGTGAAGAGCGTCGAGGAACATTTGTGGGTTTCAAGCTGTTAATGATAAAAAGAATAGGAAACGTAGCCTTTTGTTTGCAACAAACCCAAGAAACAAATTCAGCTTCTGTTAAATGTTCCAGCATCAACCAGCGGCTTAATTTTAGCCGTGTGCTAATGTTGCTGCTTGCCTTTAGCTGCATGCTAATGCCAAGAGGAAAACTTTAACCTTGTAAACGGGTGTGACGTGGAACAGGTGGGGTAGTTTGAATCCTCACTTGCAGCAGGGTTCCCAGCATTTCAACGAAAAAAATTCAGTTTTTTTCCGCAGAGGAAAAACTGAAATTCCAGATCTTTTAGTCACAGAACGCTCCGAACTTAGCAGCATAGGTGGCAGGTGAAGAATTTACTGGAAGTAATGGAAGCAATGCTTGAACGTGCCTACGGTACGCGTCATTCCTAATTACCTGTATAAACCAAAATCATAAAATGTCAATTTAAAGTCGATTCCTAAATGGAAAATAAAAAAAATATATATTTCTGCTAAACTCCAACTTTTCAGTTTAGTGCCATAATTTTAAGTGTTGCTGTTAAAACAGATTAATATGTTTTTTTAAAAATATTGCTTTGGCTTAAAATTCAGAACGTTGCATCTTTTTAATGGGTTATGCATTTGTGGAGTTTATTCTGCCAAAGATAATTACTATAATAAAAATCATACAAAAAAAGTTGCAACTCCAAATTAATTGACCACAAATTAAGTTTCTGTTCCGTCAGATTCAGAAACTTAACTTTTGATTCTGAAATCCTTTTATTGAGCTTTAAGGACTGATTTACTAAAATTGTGTGTCGAATGTTTCAACGCTCAGGCTTTAGTGCTCAAACACGTGTTGGTACCGTTATGGGAACTGTGGTACAAAGTTTTATTAACTCATATTGAAACCGTACAAAGTAACACTTTCATTTTAGAAGATCAGAACAGTAAGCAACACAAGCAAGAACTTAAAGCTGTCCAGACAAAACTGTTCACTTCTACTTAGGTAAAACTGCAGCCTGAGGGTCCATCCCGCCTTTAATAGTCCACATCAGGTCCGACTTGACTGGAGTCCGGTCCTCAGAGTTAACAGGTTCACACTCTGAGCAACGGCCCTGCTGAGGTGGAACTAGGACTGAGGCTCAGCGGGTCCAGAGGCAGCGGCCGGTTCTGATGGTTTGGCGTCAGCTGAGGTTCCCGGCTGTTGGGTGAGGTCAGGAACGGGCAACCGCAGGAAGTGCTGCAGGGCCTGAGCCACCTTCTCCGGACAAATGTTGTAAACCGGGTGAGTTGGAGCCTAAAAACAACATGATGACAATCAGTCCTTTGAGCTGAACAGCAGCTGCCTGTAGTTTCACTACAGTTTTACTTTAACGTTACATAATATGGACATGTGTTTACCAAAACGTCTGTTTTAAAGCTCCACCTTTGGGATCCTCCATCTGCTGTTTTAATCTAACAGCTGACATGAATGGAGGCAGCAGGAAGTTTCAGTCACACAACAGGAAACTGGAAAATCAAAACAAGCGGCGACGCCACTTGCTCCTTCACCTGCACCACAAACCATCCATCGCTTCCTTCGACTTCTCCACCCAACGTCAAGTCCGTTGCTGCTTCGCTTTTTTCAATCGCCTCAACTAAACCTGATAACTGCCGATTAGCAAAAAATATGGCTTTTTCAAAAATATACGCAAAAAACATGTTTAATTTTATCAGAAAACTTTGCTCACCTGCGAACAACAATGCAGACTCAATCAACCCAGACCGATTCGATCATGCTTGAATTAAAATAAACCACAGAGGAGCTGATTTATCGCTGATGTCTTTTTCAGCCTGTGTGGTCAACGAGCTTTGGGATTAAAATATGTCGTAATAATCCTACAGAAGCTGTTTTCATACAAGCAAAGCCCAGAGTTGAGTTGTCTGAAGCATCGAACCTCCTGGGTGCAGAACCAGAACACCTGGACTGACAGTCCTGCACAGATGTGGTCATTCTGTACCATATTTTTCAGACTATAAGGCACACTTAAAATTATTTAATTTTCTCAAAACAGTGAGCCTTATAATCCGAAAAATACGGTAACCATGTGCTTGTTGTTTCAGGGCAGAGGCACTCTGTTTGTGGTAATTTAACATATTTTTAAAGGTTTTATTGATTCTCTTTTACACCAGTAGGAGTTCATTTTTATCATCTACTGTACCTCAGTTGCACTATTTGGTTTCTCTTTGTACAACTTTACACACGTCGGCTGCTTTCTGACTCGTTTCACGTCTCGTCGGTCGTTCTCTTTAAATTTGTGTGAATTTTCTCGCTCAGTTTTTTTTTTTTTTGCAGTCTTTTTGCGTACTTTGTGTTTTCAAGCCACTAAATCAAAACGTTTAGCTCATTCACAAGATTGGTTCTATGACTTTTGTTTTGCAACTTTTATACTTTTTACGGTTCTGAACTTTATCCCCCCCCCCCCCACACACTCAGAAATACATTTCAATAATTCCTTCAAGATCATTAACTTTGACATTTGCTTCAGCCGACGTGTTTTATATTTGTTTTGTGCTACTTTTAGCTAGCTTTAGTTAGCTTGCCTTTTACTACATTTACCTGGCATTTTGCTACGTTTAGTTTTTAGCTAACATCTTGCTAATCATTTAGCTGATATTTAGCTATTTTAAGCAGGTCTGTTTTTTTTTTTAGCTTTTAAGAAATCAACTCAACTCTGAAAGCCATTCACTGTAATTTTGACTGAAAATATTTTTCTAGTTTTTGTCATTTTATTCTTAGTGGGAGTTTACGTTTAATTTTTTCTCATATTTTTGTCACGTGCAACTTTGTGACCTTTCAGCTAATTTTATACCTTTTAGATAATTTAGCTTTTATATTTGGGTGTTCTGCTCCTCTTTATGCTCCATTAGTGTTTGCTCTCCCTCTCAGACTCTTTTCTTTTATTTAGTTTGTATTTTTCTGGTATAAATATCACATTTTGACAAAAAAAAAAACAAAAAAACAGCTGCATTTGAGTCTTTGGTTCAGAGTCAATAAGTCTACTGTAATTAGATCTTGTAGTTTCATAAAAGCTAAATTTATAAAATCAATTCCATTCTGCTCATCAGTTTTATGAATCATGTAGCAGATTGTGATAAAACGAGTAACTTGTCAAACTAAACAAAAATTGAGTCCTCGTTTAAAATCTTTGAGCTAAAGTTGTTTAAATGGCAACAATGAGATATATTGGAATAAATGGAAAACTAAATAAAGGACAAACTCGGCTTTCTCTACAATATTCTCATTAAACGATTTGAATAACTGTCAGCTGCCAGTATCCAACAGATTTGTTTTTGTGCGACTCCCCTCCCTCCACCCCTGAAGATGCTGCCCTCTCACCAGTCGGTTCTCCTCCTTGCCGACGATGATCTCATGGTAGTGCTCCGTGTTTCCAAAGTGCTGTGCTATGGAGAGCCCGCTCAGGCAGTAACACGTGTGGTAAAAGTCTCTGGATCTGGAAAGAAAACAGGCAACATTCAAACAAACCCCCCTCTGATCCCGTCTGACGGTGTCAAGTGTGTACGTGTGGTACTGCAGCGGCTTTGTGTCGGTCCGTGACCAGATGGTGCCATACTGACTTGCCAGGCTTATCCAGAAGGCCCCCTGTTGGATTCTGACAGCACAGGAGGATGTACTCCTGCAAGGCCTGCTGATCGAACATCCACCACTGCCGACTCAGCTCCGACTCTCCTGCACACGAACGGATCAGATGCAAAACAGAAAACTGTGGAAACTCCACCACAAAAACACTAATTCGCTTACAAACGTTGATAAATTTGTTGGTGCTCCTACAGCTCATCGAAAGAATCTCATGGAATAAAAGAGGTATTGTTTAACAGAGATATGCTAATACAGTACGGACAGATCTGTCGGTGTAAATCGTTTTGTTGTATTCATGTTTCCAACTAAACGTTTAGTGTTGTTGTGTGACCACACTGAACGTGGAGAAGGAAAACAAAGGCCAGAGCTGTCGGAGGTTAAAGCTCGAGGCTACAGGACCGTCTCCAAGCAGCTACAAGTTCCTCTGACCTCAGCTATTACTAAAAAACTACGAGGTTCATGGGACTGTAGCCAACCTCCCAGAACATGGCCGCAAGGGGAACTGCAACCCCATGTTGATCAAGGCAGATAGTGAGGATGGGAGGAAAAGAGCCAAGAAACCCATCCAAGCTGAACTCCAAGGACAAGGTACGTCACTTTCTGACGGTGTCGTTCAGCGAATTTTGAATCATAACGACGGTTTTTAAGTTTTAAAAATAAAAACAAAAAGCCAAAAAAAGAATTTATCAAAATGAACGTTGACGAGCCTTAGAACTTCTGAGGGTTTTCTGGGAAGGAGGAGGCAAAACTGGACCTTTTTGGTCACAGTCATCAATTTACAGTATTTAAATAAAAAATAAAAAAAAAAAGACTGGGGACTGACTCCAACAAATTTATCCACATCTGTACATATTAAAATACGGGATTTATTAGAAAACTATGCATTTTTTTAAAGCTAAGATTTACAGGAGAAACTAATTCAGGTGATCACTAAATTAGGAATATACTCCAAAGCTCCGTTAGTTTTCCACCAAATGGGTTCTGGTACTAAACTTGCTTTATTTCCACCAGTGTAAGTTCTGGCTCCAGCATCAGAAAGTATCAATGGTCACCTCCTCTTTACAGCACCAGAACTCTTGTCAAGAGCTAAATAATGTGAGTGCCACGTTTACAAGTATCCTCACCGTTACAAAATACTTTAATGTGAATAAAAATGAGATGAGCTGTGGAATAACACGACCTCATATTTTATTTCATCTATTCTATTTTACCAGGAAGGTCCCACTGAGATAAATCATCTCTTCCAACAGGGAGTCCTGGTCAAGATGGCAGCATGAATATAAATCAACAACCATAAAAAATCATGTAAAAGTACATTATATACAATTATAAATGGAATAAAATGAAGCATGGGTTAAAACAAATACAGATCAGGAATTAAACTATACTAGAAAAGACCAATATATTCCACTACTGGTTAAAAGTAAAAGGAAAAAAAAAAGTTTATTTTAGTCATTAAGTCTTAAAAGTTTGAAAAGGAGTGTCAGAAAGCTCATGGTGTTCTGAAAGTTACTCCAGACCATAAAAAAGCAGTTTTACCAATTTTAGAAAACATCCTGGGGACGGCTGCGTATTTTTTTTTTTTTTTTTTTAATCCTCATTTCGGAGTTCAAGAGTTCAAATCCCAACGTTAAAACCAAACATATAACTCCTGAACAGTTTAGAGATACTCCATTAGGTTATAAAGAAACTCTCTCTTTAACCAGTAAGTTGAACCAGCAGTGACGACGGAGAGAAATAATGCCAGACAGCGTGCTGAGATTATATTATGTTGTGGCGTTACGCTGTTTTTGTTCAAATGAAAACGTACCATCATTGAATAAGGCTCTGTGGAGTAGAGGTAGGAGTCCAGCTTGCCAGAAAGAATAGCAGCCGTCCACCAGTTTATTACATCGGCCTTGGAAGCCTCCTTCATATCGCATCTGTCTGCTGACCACCCACCTCTGAGGAGAAGCAATAATTAAAAACAAATACAGCAGGTTTAAAGAAATACAGAAGCTAAATGTGAACTTCTACTATAACCGAGTGCAATTACAAGTCATCGACGCATCAGCAGCGACAGGAGGATGGTTACACAAGAAAGGAAGTGGAGTCAGAGCAATCCAGAAGCAATGTCTCTTTACACCTTTAAAACGGGAAGGAATTTACAATGGTTTCCACGGAAACGGCTAAATGACACACATTCAGTCCGCTCGACTTGGATAGAATAATTATAGGATGCTGGGTTTAATAGCAGCTGGAGTTTCCTCAGCTAGAGGAAGAGAAGAGAGGGGTGTTTAGCTCATTAATGAAAGAGCTCGTTTCAGCCACTGAAGATGGAAAAAGAATGGAGGCAACACCAAGGTGGAGGTGAGAGACTGTAGACCCCGACATCTTATGCCATAAGCTCTCAGACATTGTTTCTCAGATCACACTATCGGTTGGTTTTCTAATTACCTCTCAGATCGGAGGCAATGTGTTCAACATAATGGTACTTCTTCCAGTTATGCAACCGTCAACAATGGTGTACCACAAGGCTCAGTCTTAGGACCACCCTCTTTACAATCTAGATAATGTAGGTCAGATCATTCCTGATGCATCCTTACATTTCTACGCTGACTATACAGTTGTTTATTGTCGAGCTTAATCAGTTGCTAAGGTTTTCCAGTTTTTCCAGTCTGCATTTGACATCATCCAATCAGATTTGTTCCGTCACAAACTGATGCTAAATGCTGATAAAACCAAAGGGATGTCGTTTTCAAACAGGAAGTATGTATTTGCTGTCCTCTTTCTCTTATCTACAAATGGTGTTCCTACTGAGTTTGTCGATTCTTACTTGGAAATCGTGGTCGATGCACATCTCTCTTTTGAACCTCAGGTCGAAAACTTGATAAAATGTTTCAATTAAAACTGGGTTTCTTTTTCAGAAATAGATCCTGTCTAACTCTGAATGCTAGGAAACGCCTTGTAACTGCTACTTTCCTTCCCGCCATTGACTACGGTGACATTATTTATATGAACGCTCCTACAAGCACCCTGCAGATGTTGGACGCTGTCTACCATGGTGCGCCAAGATTCATAACTGGCTGTAACTACCGTACCCATGACTGCACTCTGTATTCACTGGTCAACTGGTCATTATTAACTTCATGCTAACCTGTATTAATAAAGGTTGAATGAAAGGTGCAGTTAGCATTATGTGCTTTTTTAAACCTTTAATAACAGTTATTCAAGATTCATAGGTTTAAAAAAAGGCTGCAGAAAATTGTTTGCACCAAGCAAATATCCTCAAACTCATGAATTATTTACAAGTAAACTGTTATTTTCTTATGCCGTTAAAAACAAAACTAAAAAGATATTTAAACTGCTTACATCTATTGTAATCATTTTGTCCAGCATAAGATCAGAAAATATAAAAAGAGATTATTCACTAAACAAAACTGCATTAAGGGGATTTTCCCGTCTTCCTCGTTATAAAAACATAACCCACCTTACAGCACTGGTTTTACTTCCTGTATTCAGATGAAACAGGAGGCCGTTACAAACTACAAGGTATTCACAAACAGCAGTTAGAAAAAAAAAGTCCCTTTTAGGTTTTCATCACACTTGAAAGCAAACCTTTAAAGCTCTAATTTGCCCAACTTCTAAGAATGTGCTCATTGAAGAACTGAGTTACCATCATTTGCAACAATTTTTAAAAACGTTCACTCAAAGACAAAAAAAAAAAAAAAAAACCTTTTTCATGCAAACACTACAAAACCTGATAAACAACATAATCATTAAAGTTATTGCTGTTGGTAACACTTTTAGGTCAGAGCTTTAACAAAACAATCAAAAGGCCGCTGAGGTTTGAGCAGTTCAGGGTTCCCTGCATTTCATTAAAACTAAATTCCCTGAGTTTTCCCAGACATTTCCCCGAGTAAATCCTGAAATTCCAGGAGATATTTCAGTCACACAAAATGCTCAGAACAGTTGGTGGACAGAGTCACACCAAGAGATGACGGTAAATATACTGTAGCCTATTTTATTTATGGTATTTATTCATCTTTATTTAACAGGCAAATCCCATGAAGATCACCGCTTCTGCAAGGAAGGCCTGGGCCTGAAGGCTGCTTATAGTACATCATTATGATAATCATTCCTAATAATTAATTTAGGGATGCACAATATTGGATTTTTGGCCGATATCCGATACCAAGACAGATATTGTTTTCCCCTAGACCTACTTACAGAGACTACATAGCTTTCTCTGCTGTGGAATTAAAATACTACATTATTCTGCAGGTCTTTGTCAATTTGGCCTGCTACCAAATACAGATGCCAAAAAGGGAGATGAAAATGATGCAACACTTCAACTTGGATTATGTTTAATGTCAAATTTATTCATGACATTTACTCTAACACAATGACAACACTCGAACAGAGCAAATTTGTAGATTTTCACAACAGCATTGTGCTGGCAATACATATACACACACACACACACACTCACACACACACACAAACAGCGCCTTTTATATCGGTGAGTTATTTTGATGGAATGGCTGATGTCCGATATCTAACTTCTTTGCCAGTATCGACCGATACCGATAATATTGTGCATCCCTATTAATTATATTGTATAAAATCAGAAAATAAAAATCCATGGACACACAAGGTCAATGATAATAGAATAGCAACATTAACACACGTACATGTTAAAACCTCAGGTCATCTGTTGTTCAGCAGATCAGTGCTCAGATTCCCTGAGCTCTCCCTGATTTTTGAGCCCGTCTGGAAAATGTGAAAGTCGTTTTCCAGGTTTTCCCTGATTTCTAGAGTTGCTGAGAATTTGTCCTCTTAAAAAAGAGTTGGAGGTTCGATTCCTGGCAGTATTCAGCATCACTGGACACATGCCTTGACGGGTCCAGTGACACTGAAGCCCTCACTGCCACCGACGTGCCCCATAAAGGTGACCTAAAGCACACGGAGTATTCTCTGTTGAATAATCCTCTCAGGTTTGCTCGGAGCGGTATAGTAGAGTGCTGTATGAATGTGTGTGAATGGGTGAAATAGGGCACGGATTGTGTCGTGAAGCGCTTTGAGGAGCCTGGCTCGATTAAAAAGATGCTTTACAAGCACCACCTGTTTACCATTTTTACCATTTACAAATGAACACACAACTGAGAATACAAGACTTTGATAAATTCATGGTCGTGCTGGATTTGTAGACACATTTCCAGGTTTAGATATAAAGTTCATGACAAGGTAAGATTAGGGGATTTATCTCTCTGAATACTCAGGCAAGTTGTTTTGTACAGTCTACTTTTTAATGCAAATGTTGGAATTACATTATTCCTGTTCATAATCATTAAAAAATAGAACATTCTGAATAATATTTTCAGATTTGTATGTTTATTTCTATTTTTGATTAACATCACAAAACTGGAAAATAACAGTAATTTTACAGTGAAATAAAAAAGCTCAGCGCTCTCCTACACCGCTTCTTCTTTAAAGAGTGGGGGACATTTTTACCAGTCAGCTCATTACATGCAAATTCAATTTTCACTGCAGATAATTTGAATAAGTGCAAGAGAAAGACGGGACTGTGGTAGAAGCCTTACACTTCAACACGGTGACAATCCAAGAACTGTCCCATGACACGTAAAAACAAGCCTACTGTTGACAGACTGATCCGTCTTTCTTTTTTAGATAAGCTTAGCGTCAGCAAGCATCTGTTCTCCTGCAGAGTCCCTTAACATGAATCTAAAGCTCAACTAATAATAAAAGCTTTGCTGCTATTGTTCTTATCCCGTCCTACACGAGAAGCAGGAACAGACGAGGCTTTCAGTGCAAACAACAGAAAGTGCTACAGTCGTAGCTCAAACCACAGCTAAAAAGGTCGGCACGCTTGCAGACTACAACAGAACCAGTTACAGAACACCAGAATGTTTGACTCCTACTGGATCTAGAAATGTTGGATGGAAAGGATAAAAGTGGAAAGTATGGTTATGGGTGAGCGTCGCTTTACAGTGAGGATACGCGAATCATCACATGTATTATTTAATTGGACCGGCGAAAGGAAACTATAATGGCTAGCCTGCTAACCCCTGCTAGCAGGATTAGCAGCTGCACAATTTCAGTGTTTCTCGTTAAAACGCCCATCCCTAAATTATCACAGCTGCTGTGTTTTAGCTTCTGTGTACAAGACATGGGATAATATGCAGGTCCAAATGATTGTGAGCGCACCTCTCTGAAAACCATGACTTGGGTCCAGTAGCACCGTATTTTTCATCGTACACGTCGCACCGCCCTATAAGTCGCATCAGTCCAAATATGTCTAATGAAGTGGAAAAATCCATAAATAAGTCGCTTCGCCGTATAAGTTGCATCTATTACGTGTCACCGCTGACACGTCATGTTTCTTACACGTCACTGCTGACAACCTGGAAATACGGGCATTGAATGGCTGCCAAATGGCGGCTGCAGGAGAGTGCACAGGAGGATTTTAACAAGAATTTAACAAGATTAACACTTTAAAACAATTATTTGTTTGCTCAAAATTATAGCAAAGGTGTGTCTCAGTCTAACTTTTACTTTATAAATGCACTTTATTGGTCAAATCAGCTGCATTTCGCCGTGGCGACGCAGAAAAACGCAGCTGATTTGATGGTTGCGCCAGCTGGACAAAAGCATGACACAACCATGACACAACAGCATGCCATACTACTCGAGTGCCATCTAGTGGCTGAAAATGGTAATGTTCAATATTTTCAGTCAGAATTAATGAAAACGGTCATATCTCCGGCAAAACTTGGTTTATAAATATGGGGAAAATCCATAAATACGTCGCTTCGGCCTATAAGTTGCAGGGCATGTAAATGATGCAAAAACCCGCGACTTATATGCAGTAAAATATGGTACTTTACGTTATAGAAAACAGGAGGTTCACTCACCAGTAAGGCTTTGAGATCCAGCATGTGTTCTTTACCCAGGATGACGAGGGCGGCCGTGCCACAAAAAGTGTAACCCCCGTGTGCCTCCAAACCTGGAACTCCACTCATACCACCCTCCCAGTTCTGACAGCTGCGACCACCGAAGACGTCAAAAACACATTAGATTACAGAGGAACAGGAACAGAGCAGGGCTTGAACTACACGCTGACAGGCTGGTGTTTTCGGCTGTACCTGAGGATCCAGTTGGTCGTGTCCTCGAACAGTTTGGGTGTGATGATGTTTGTGAGCGATGCTACTGAAGCAGCACAATAAGCACTCCTGCAGCACACAAGAAAAACAGATCCACAGCAGACGTGAATAACAGGAAGTATGCTCTATTTCTTCCATTCCTGAACTAACAGACCAAACACAGAAAATCTTTTTGTTTAACTTTAAACTCATCTTGGGTTACATTTATCCTTTTTAAACACACTGTGAACCTTCGAGAATTGGTTTTCAGTAATAAATAGCTGCCTTTTTTGTTTGTCGAACAATTCTAGTTGTGTGAACGCTTGTGAAGCATTCACTCTATTGTGATCCATTTTTCTTCTGTACGTTGTCTGCATCTTTCTCCCCACCACCACAGACATCTACACCTCTAGATGCAGGAAGAGGGCCAACTGCATCATGAAGGACCCCACTCACCCAGCACACACACTTTTTGCCCCACTCCCCTCAGGAAGGAGGTTGAGGAGCATTAAGTGTAGAACCACTAGACTGAGGAACAGCTTCTACCCTGAGGCTGTTAGACTCATGAATCTCTAACCAGAATAATCACTGTGAAGAATCACATCATGTTGCTGCTGATCTGTTTCATGTTGCTGCCGATCTGTTTCATGTTGCTGTGTTCATGCGTGCTCATCTGCTCACACAGACTCATGTTTGTGCTGCTGTTTGATGTAATGTTTTTATGCTACTAGTGCTTAAAGTATATTTAGTTGATGTTTTTCTTAGTTCATATCTTAGAGCTCATTACTGTTTTTCTTTTATATTTTATTGTTGGATGTAATTGGGACCCTGTGTACATAATTTTGTTCCACCATATGTACCATATAAGATGCGAATGACAAAAAAAAGCAAAAACCTTGAATCCTTGAATCTTTCTCGTTCCACGTTTTTTGTGTTATTTCAATAAATCATACATCAAAATGTTCAGCTCGTTCAGGAGAAGGGTGCTATGACTTTTGGTATGGGTGCAACTTTAGCTTTTTGAAATATTTAGCCTTTTCTGCCATTTTTTCTCTCATGGAAAATAAATAGAGCTAATTTTACAAACTTCAAATCTTTAGCTCCGTTTACAACCTTTAACTGCTCCTTTCACATTTTGTTCTGGTTCAGCTTCTTTCAGCTTCCTCATGAAAAACTTTTTTCAGCTACTTTCAGCTGTTTTTTCCAGCTGTTTTGTGCTCCTTACATATTCTTTCTACCAACAACAACATTTTTGTGCTTCTTCTAACTTCTTTCTGCTAATTTCAGCTCATGCTCCTTTCAGCTTATTTCTGCATGTTTCAACTTTTTCTGCTATTTCAGTTACTATTTAGCTGTTTTTATGCTAATGTTAGCATTTTCAGCTAATTACACATTTTTGGCACTCATTTAAACTTTTTTCAGCCTAATTTAACCAAAATGTCCTCTCTTCACTTCCTTCTTTTAAATTTAATCTTCTTTCTGCTTTTTTAGCTACTCTTCAGCTGTTTTTTTTGTTGTTGTTGCTACTTTCATCTTTTTTCAGAAAATTTCCACTTTTTGTGCTCATTTCCGCTTCTTTCAGCCTAATTGGGCAAACTTTTACTCTAAGCTTCTTAATGCTAATTTAAGCTTCTTTCTGCTATTTTTAGCTACTTTTTTTTTTTTTTTTTTTTTTTTAACATACTTCTGTTTTTTTTCAGATAATTTCCACTTTTTGGTGCAGATTTCTGCTTCTTTCAGCCCAATTGGGCACAGTTGTGCTGTCTCCACTTTTTTCTGGTAATCTAAGCTTCTTCCTGCATTTTCAGCTACTTTTTTAGCTATTTTTGCTGATTTCAGCTCTAAATTTTGTGCTTATTTTTGCTTATTTAAACCACATTATGCAATAATGTGTTCTTTAAGTTCTGCTAACAGGCTTGTTCTTCCATTTCAGCTCCATTTCAGCATGTTTTTAGCCAATTTCAGCTGTTTATCAGCAACCTATTCAGCAATAAGCCTTCACAGTGCATTTTCACAGGAAATGCAGTTTCTCTAGTTGCAGCTATTGTTGATGCTTGACAAACAAAGAACTCTTTAGAGATGTAAAATAATGTCATACTGTGGTAAAAAAAACACTAAAAAGAATGGAATGTCATGTGGGCACTTTTGTTTCTGCTTTAGCACGCATCTAGCAGGATAAAAAAAAAAAAACAACGTTCCTTCTGCTTATTCACTTGAAAAACCACAACTGACGAACTGTTCCTCCGCCCGCCGGTTGAAACAGGAACGTGTGGCAAAGGCACAACAAATTTAGCAGAACATCTTACACTACGGTGGATTTTAGAGTTGCATGGACAGTGGTTCAGAAATGTACATACGCAGCATTACAAGTGAAATGTTTAGGATGTAGCAACATTTGAGGGCGAGAACGTCAGGGCGGCTCTACACGCAGTTTTTGTTTCATCACTCTTTTAACAAGTCATTGCAAAAGACAAGAACAAGGATCTGAGGCATTTTTTTTATTTCAAATTGTTCCTCATATGTTTATTAAAAGACAAAACTCTCACACAGAGCTATTCAACTAAATTGTTCAGGGGGTCACAGTTACTGAGAGCCAAGAGCTCAGCGGCTGGACATCCAGCAGTTATTGCCATTAATTAAGTTTGTTTTATGGTTTAAAATCTAGTTTTATTTAAAAATGAACCCATTGGTGGGCCGAACCGAACCCAGTCGTGGGCCTGATTTGGCCCCAGAGCCGCCAATTGAGTAGTCCTACTCTAACACATTTCACAAGAGTCTTGTCTGAAAAATATAACTCAAATTTTGTCTATTAATACAAAGCAGACAGCAAATAAAACTAAATAATATTCAACATAGGCCTGTCGCAATAAATCAATTAATCGCATGATAAATGAGAATTATAGACCTCATTTTCATTTATCGGCTTTTTCGTTTCTTCGTGTCTCTTTCTACTGAAGACACTGGATGACAAAAGGTTCAACTCCGGTGCTCTTCACTGACCCCTCCCTTTCTCTTTAAAATACATTTTAACCGTCCAAAATCTCGTGCTTGGATCGTTAAAAACAGCTAAGCTGAGAAGCTAAGCTAGGAGCTAAGCTAACAGGCCGACCTCAGGGAAAAACCTCCGTCTTATCGAAGCTCCAAAATTCACGGTTGAAACCCGTGCCTTTGTGTAAAAAGTTATTTTTCTCAGCAAAAAGAAGCTGAGAACTTGTTTACTGATTTTTTTTATTTAAAAGCTTTGTGTGAAAAATGTTATGCTAAAGAGCTCAAACCACACAGAGCGTCCACCATTTTGAGAACCGAAAAACAGGAACGAGAGACAGCCCATGTCACGTCAAGGGGCCTCCCTCCCATTTTTCTTAGAGACATGCTGCGCTCCCTCAGTAGCCATCCTTCGGTTCAAACAGTCTTATACTGCCATCCAGTGGTTGAAAAAAGGTACTACACTCAAAACAAATCAATGTTTCTTCTCAAATTTGACAATAATTATAATATAAATAATTATAAATTAAATTATAAATTATTGTCAAATTTCAAACAATAGTATTGTTTATCTCAATAATTTCTGAGACAATAATCGCTCAGCAAAATTTATTGTGACAGGCCTAATTCAACAAATTTGCATTTTCATATTTCATGGAGCGGCTGTGGCGGAGTGGTTAGAGCAGTCGTTCTCCAATGGGAGAGTTGCCGGTTCGATTCCACCAGCTGTCACATGCCGAAGTGTTGCTGGGCAAGACACTGAACCCCTCATTGCCTGATGTGTGTCCCATCAGTGTATGAATGTGATAAAACACTGATTATTCTTTGTATAGATCTAGTAGAGTGCTGTATGAATGGGTAAATGAGGACACAGACTGTAAAGCGCTTTGAGTAGCTTGATAAAATAGAAAGGTGCTATATAAGTACAGTCCAATTACCATTTACCATATTTTAGTTATAGCCTACAAATAAAAAACACCAAAAAACTTGGAAACCAATAGGAAGCATAGGGTCCATTGTTGCTGTTATTTAGGGGTTGAACGACTACATAATTTTTAAACTCGACATTAACATAATAAAACTCTAGTAGAACTCGAGTAGTTGATGACATCATAGGATCTCAAGATGAAAAAAAAAACAAACAAAAAAAAAAAAAAACAGTGGGGCGGGTGACCACCCCGCACCACCTCCAGCTGTGGTGCGCATTAGGTTTAGTTTTATAGATTAATATGTTTATAGGTTTTTTTATAGGTTTAGAGATTAATATGTTTTGCTTTTAGTTTGTGAAACAAGGTCAGAGGAAGCTGTGTTGGTGTTGCACCATATTATGTGACCTGCAACAGTGCATGCAACACCGCCTCCTACGGTCACAATATACGGTGGTCACAGAATATGGTATAACACCGGTTCGCAACGAGCTCCAAACAGTCAGGAAGTTGATTCATTTTCTGTTTCCTTACGGTAGTTGAACCAGAAGATTCATCTTTAGTGAAATATTTCCAGACTACTGATGCATTTCTACCTGTTTGCCAAGACTGGGCCTGCTCCGCTCAGTCCATCTGCTGGGAGGAATCCATTTTGTAGCTTCTACTAGTAGCCCGGTGCGGATCACGTGACGTAATGACGTAACTGCAAATACTCGACGTGAAATTTAAAAACTCGATAGATGCCCTAGGAATCGACCTGTCGATTACTCGAGTAGTCTGTTAAATCCCTACTGTTATTGTGGATTTTTGTATTTTTGGCTACTTCTTGTAGCTTTTTAAATTGCATTGTTGTGTTGTCTTTCACTGCATGCTGTAAACACTTTTACAACAAATTAATCTGAACATGTGTTTCTTTACCTGAAAGAGATAAACGATGACCTACATAATCACCACCATCATGTAAGGATATGTGGTGCAAAATTATAAAAAAATAAAATAAAATAATGTATATATAATGAGAAGATGGTGGAGTTAGCTTTAAATTTGGAGGTCTCACCTGACGTCCACCTCTCCTCCGATGTGCATCACAAAGGAGCCATCAGGCTGCTTCAGTGACATTAGGAAATCTAGAAGCTTCTCCCTGAGGAAGGTCGTACAGGGGGAGAAAGGGGAGAAGATTCAAAATATGGGAGAACTGTGGAACAGTATGAACTAGTCTATATTTAAAAAATAATGTCAAGTAAAATGTAGCATCTAAATTGAAAAAGTAAATAAACTGAACAGCACACCAGCCTTTTAGTTACACAGAGAAAACAAACAAGTAAAAAAAAAACAACAACCTGAAATTATCTCAAGAATAATGAGCCAATTGCTTTTGAGCTAAAAATTAAAGAGTACTTCAACATTTACACAGATGATGCCTGAAATCAACCTGCAGTCAAAACAAACCACTTCTGATGAACTTTTTTATTTGCTCAGTACAATCCGGTGAAGATCAGTGAGAGGTTTTAGTTGCATGATCAGGACAGTACCTGTCTAGAACGTCATATGCTTCTTCAGTTCCGATGATACAGAGGGCGTTGACGGCAGCATAGGTGGGTGCGAGGTGGGCGTGTTGCCCTGGTCCTCCAGCGAAGCCCCCTGTCGGGCTTTGACAATGTGCCAGAAATTGACACACCCTGAAAAACAAAATTTAGAGATAAGGATTGTTTTTTGTAAATGCAATCTATAATAGTTGTCATAATACAAGCTGATGAATCACAGAGAACATCGCCAAGTGCCAGCTCTGACTCTGTTGTAGGACTGCATTGTTAGAAAGAGCCAGAGTGCTCGTGTGTGTGCGCACGAGGGCGTCACGTCGGCACGAGGCCGCCATCAGCCGACTGAGCTGGCACACCTCACTGGTGGAATGAGAGCGTAGGCTGGAAGCCCGGCGTTGTTGCTCAGCATGAGGTTTGCTGAATGTTACCTCCGAGAGGCAGCAATTTATTCAAATGACATTTCTTATCAGCAATAACACATTTATTCTTTGAAGTTGTTGCTGTGTGAACATTTAAAGAACAAAGCTTTGTACGGTTATTGTCTGGCATAATAAATGGAGTAAAAGCTTTCATCTCACTTCTTCAAAGATGACAACTTGTTTGAATTCTGTCAGAGGTACATTATATGAGAAATAAAACTTACTCCTGCAATAAGTTGTGGGAAGATTAATTAACAATAAACCTCTATAAATGTTAGTGCTGCACTGGATAAAAGCAATATTCTTAGACAGAGCTGAAGAGAAAAGTGATGGTATATCCGGATTTGATTGTCAGATTACCGTACTTGCCGTCGTATACGTCACATCTATCATGTGTCAACGCTGACGCGTCGCGTTTGCGTCACCGTTGAACGCTTGGAAACGTGTGCCGGTGTTGTGCCAAAAAAATCGGGAGCGTGCACGGGAGAACTTTATAACACTTAAAAACAATTATTTGTTTGCTCAGAATTATAGTAAAAGGTGTGTCTCAGTTTAACTTTTCCTTAATAAATGCACTTTAGTGATAAAATCAGCTGCATTTCAAAAATCTATTTGCGGCTGCAGGAGCGCGCAGAGGGAGGACTTGCTGTGCATTTCTTTGAAATTTAACAAGATAACCACCTAAAAACAATTATTTGTTTGCTTGACATTATAGCAAAGGTGTGTCTCAGTTTAACTTTTCCTTAATAAATGCACTTTGACGGTCAAATCAACTGCATTTCAAAAACCGATACGCGGGAAGTGGGTGCGCGCAGAGGGAAAAGTTAAACTGAGACACAACTTTGCTATAATTTTGAGCAAACAAATAATTGTTTTTAAGTGTTAATCTTGTTAAAGTCCTCCCGTGCACGCTCCCGCGGCCGCCATTTGGCAGCCAATCGATTTATGGCACAACACCAGCCCACATTTCCAGGTTGTCAGAGGTGACACATAATAAATGCGATGTATACGGCGAAGCGACTCATTTATGGATTTTTCCACTTTATTAGACATATTTAGACTGATGCGACTTGTAGGGCGGAGCGACACGTACGGCGGGAAATACGGTATATTAGTCGCTTTGGCGTATGAGCCGCAGGACTTGCAAATTTATGCAAAAAGGTGCGACTTATATGGCAAAAAATACGGCATGTGGATTTACGCATCAAATAGGATTACGAGTTTATACGCATATTTGTTTTGAAGTGTTTGGAATTTGCCTAGTTTTTGGTTAATTTGCACTACAGTGATTTAAAATTCCTGTAACAGTTACGGTTATCTTGGGACATGTTCATCTAAAAATAAAAACCTAAAAAACAATTGGTGTCTCATTAGTTCATAAAGAGTGGCGTGTGAAATTTTGCACGGCTGTTGCCTACAAGTCGCGTGACAACAGTATTTGCCTTGCTATAGTAGTTATAAAACAATTTTTTCAAACAGTACACAAATAAAAATCTGTGGAAGTGAACAGGCTTCTTCGTGCACAACTCACTCAGAGGCAACAGCAGGAGGAATGGGCTCCTCTAGTAACTCCAGACTGTGAAGAATCCAGAAGCAAAGCCACGGTCTGCTTGCATCCAGACACTACACCCACATGAAAACACAGAGCATCGAATGGCAGACATAAACAGAGAACTGTGCAAGGAAGAGACTGAAACATTTCTTTCTGTATGTGTGGTAAATACCTGACCATTTATTACCAGCAGCACAGCTATATAATGCTTAATTTACTCTTTAAAACAAAGAAGCACTGCTGAGATCCTGTTTCACCCAGTTTTGTGACACTGCAGCAACGTTTCACTGACTCAAATATTGAAATCCTGCATCCACAGAAGAGGTCTTCTCAATTCACACCGAACATTTTGAGAAATATCTGAAGCAGGATAATCTGACAGTTGCTGATTCTTACGAACACACAAAAAAACAAAGGGAATCTCTAAGCAAATGAAGTAGTTGTTTTCTGTTTGTGCATATTAACATAAAATAAAAGTTTAACATGCATGGATACGCCTGTTTTTTCACTCATCATTAGACCATCAAAGTTCATGCTCAATAATCCAGGTACGTGTTCAGTCAGGTCATCTGTATGGTTTCTTTTTTTTTGCCGAGACGTTGCGTCCTTCATCCAAAGGACTTCTTCAGTCACTCATAGCTCATTAAAATACAGAAATGTACGGAACTACACATGCCCATAAGAGCAAAATGTGTGACGACTGGAAGAAAACTGTACCTCGTAGGCATCAGATAAATGACGTAATCCCCTCTTGAGGTATTGGTAGTGTTGTTCCCGCAACAACAAAGGCCTGGAGAATACATACAAGATTAAAAGATTAATTAAAAACAATAAAATAAAATATGTCTTACTTATACATACAATTTAAAATTGAAAACCCCCCCACCCAAAAAAAAAAAGTTAAACTCTATGTCGAACTGCTTGTTTGTGGTCGGGTCATGGAGGACATGAGTTCAGGAGAGAAACCCAGACATCCTCTCTCCAACAATACTTTCCAACTTGTCCTGAGGGACCCCAATGTGTTTCCAGACCACAGAAGATACAACATCCATCCAGTGACTTCTGGGTCTTCCCCAGGGCCTCCTAATGGTGGGACGTGCCCAGAAAACCTCTAAAAGGAGGTGTTCAGGAGGCATCCTGATCAGATGCCTGAACCACCTCAACTGACTCCTTTCGATGCGGAGAAGCAGCGGCTCAACTCCAAGCTCCCTCTGGATGACGGAGCTCCTCACCCTATCTCCAAGGCTGAGCCCGGACCCTACGAAGGAAGCATATTTCGTCTGCTTGTACCCGGCATCTTGTTCTTTTGATCATGATCCAAACCCCATGAACATAAGCGAGGGTCAGAATGTAGACAAACCAGTAAATCAAGAACTTTGCTCTTTCTTCACCACGACTGACCGAAGCAACGCCCTCATTACTAAGGACAAAGCCTCAATTCATTGATCCATCTCTCGCTTTATCCTACCACCACACATGAACAAGACGCCCAGACACGTCACACTCGGTTGAGACCCACCCTTGTGCATAGGCCTGTCACGATAAACAATAAATCAATCACATGATAAATGAAAATTATCAACCTCGTTTTCATTTATCGGCTTTATTGTTTCTTCTTGTCTCTTTCTACTGAAGACACTGGTAGAAAGAAAAAAAGCTCAACTCCGGTGCTCTTCATTGACCCCTCCCTTTCTCTTTTATCTTTAAAATCCATTTTAACCGTCCAAAATCACATTTTTTGGATCATTAAAAGCAGCTAAGCTGAGAAGCTAAGCTACGAGCTAAGCTAACAGGCTGGCCTCGGGGAAAAACCTCTGTCTTGTCACAGCTCCAAAATTCACAGTTGAAACTCGTGCCTTTGTGTAAAAAGTTGTTTTTCTCTGCAAAAAGAAGTTGAGAACTTGTTTAGTGATTTTTTTTTTAATTAAAAGCTTTGTGTGAAAAATGCTATGCTAAAGAGCTCAAACCACACCGAGCGGCCGCCATTTTGAGAACTGAATAAAGGAAGGAGAGACGGCCCATGTCACGTCAAGGGGCCTCCTTCCCATTTTTCTTGAAGAGACACGCTGCTTGCTCCCTCACTATCCATCCTTCGGTTTAAACAGTCTTATACTGCCATCTAGTGGTCAAAAAAGGTACTACACACAACAAATTACAAACATTTCTTCTTAAAGTTGACAATAATTACTAAATATTGTCAACTTTCAAACAATATTATCGTTTATCATAATCATTTCTGAGACAATTAATCACCCCCAAAATTTGTTATCGTGACAGGCCTACTTGTGCATGCTGACGTCTTGGCTTGAAGACGGCAGCAAAACCACATCATCCCCATAAAGCAGAAATGAAACCCTGAGATTCCCAAACTAGACACCCTCTTCTCTACGACAATGCCTCAAGATTCTGGGGGTGGGGGTGGGGGGTGTTAGACAGAGACACATCCATGAGCTGCACATTGTTTGTACCGACAGTTTTCAAATGGGAGGGGAGGTTCAGCATGAGGGAAGAGGCTGCCTTTATCTTTTTAGCTAGTGTACCTGTATTACAAGCCGCTAGCGTAACGTTACGTCAGTGCCGACAGGTGGTTGGGGTGGGGGTGTGGAGTTCGGTAGATGGGGCGCCCTGCTTGTATAATGGTAGGGGAAACACTGAACATTCAGAACCTTCCCTCCTGCAGCCCGAAGCTGCAGAGGTAAATCCACCTTAAGATGCTTTTTGAAAATGTACGGACTGGCCACATTTTGGCAGCTAAATGGAGGATGGAGTCTTCCTGGTTATAGGAAACTGATCATAAAGACAGCTCAGCGAAAGTTTACAGTGTAACAACAAATACATCTAAGGTATTTTAATCTGGATGATAACATGTAACAGTTCAATGCAAACCAATCAACCGCAACACTAAAACCACTGGAAGTTGAAGTAAACCCGTTGACCTCAACGCTACGTTCTGCTGGGACATTTTGTATCTTGGCATCATGTTACTGGTAGATCTTACTTCGATGAGCACATTCCACAGAAAAAGGCAGCTTGACCAAATTCCTTCCTGACACCTGGCTGACTATGTCCCATGCCACATGCAGAAACTAACAAGTTTAGACTTGTGGGACATGCCACAATGACTTGAGACTTGGCACAGCCACCTAGACCCAAATATCCTGCTTCCATCTAGTACCAACACAATGCAGTGGAATATGCCTGATTTATTATGACCCCAAACAGTGTTTCTCCTACAGTTATCCAAGGAGGGCGCCCCGCCCTGCCCAGAACAGAGCGCCCTGCCTACCTAAATGTCCTTCACGCCCCCCCCCCCCCCCCCATTTCTTAATGTGCTGTGTGAGTGAATACATTGTGTTATAACAGACTAAATAAACTGCAATTAGATTTGAAACTGGATCAGTTTTGCACTGAATTTTAACTTATTTATGTTTTACAGTGCCCTGGGACAACGTTTGCTGTAAATTGCTGCTTTATAAACAAACTGAACAGAATAAGAAAGTTGTACACTGTGCAGCGACATGGACCAATATGTGCAGAACGTGTCACACGTTTGCAAGACATTCCAGTTTCCTGTTGGGTCCGAGTTGTTCACACGTTGTTTTCTTGAATGTTTTTAGGTAAAGGCACGTGTGCACTACAGGAAGTGCTCTGTAACCTCCGTGCACCCCTGCTCCTTGTTGCATACACAAATGAAAGGCAGTAAATGTAGAACTCATAAAACAGACACTTCCACCTTCTCTTCTCCTGCCCTCCTTTTCCATGCAACGTCTGCTACCTTCATAATTACACACTTCTTCTTACGCAGGGTTAGTCACGGACCATTATCTCCTTTTTATTTTTTGTTGCAACAAATATGCAACACAACAAAAACCAGAAAAGAGCACAACAGCAGCTAAAATACAGCTTGTCAAACACATCAGATAAGGATGCGCCATGCCCTTTCAAATGCTGAGGAAAAAAAGGCCAAGATGACAAATTACACCTTTAATCTCAGCATCAAGTTGAGCTCAACCCCCTAAGGTATTCTGCAATATATCTGATGCAGACTGCAAGCGCTGTCAAAGATTTTAAAAGATTCAATTCTAGCCATTTCTAAACAATATGAGCTTAATCGTCAGGACAAAAAAAATTAACAACTGTCTTGCAAACCGCTACAAACTACACTATTGATGTAAAATTTACTCCAATGCATTCAGTTTATCAGGTAATTGCATTAAAACCTTCAAACGCATCAGGGAAGTTCTGATATTTCTCAGAAAAAATATGGTAGATGGAAAAAAAAGAAACCAAGACTCAATCTCCATCTATTTTATTTAAAAATAAACAATCAACTTCTCATTCAGCTTTTCCCAGAAGCTGAAATCTAACCCCGATTTCCATCTGCAGCAGAAAACCAAAAACAGATGCTCGCCACTAAATGCACATCCACTTTTGACTAAAACAAGTTCATTTTCGCACAACACAAAACGTATTTCCTTTTGGGCTGCAGTGCCAGCAACTAATAGATCCAAGAGTTGTCATAGAAGCGAGATGAGTCACCGCACAGAGAAGCAATGACAGCTGATAGCAACAGCAAAGTATGTGGGCTGATCAACACGACATTTAGATAAAAGCCATCGTACATCACAGTCCCAGCCAGAGAGCCGAGTTCTTGGAAGGGCCTCACAATGGCTGAAAAATGTCGTCAATGTTACGATGGAGCAGTGAACAGATTAATATTATTTCTGCAGCTGGACAACATCTGCCCTATTAGTAGACAGGCTTGTTTTTAAACACACAACTGAGTTGAAGGCAAGCTCTTTTACAACAAAAACAGTAAAAAATATTTTTCTTTACCGTGAAGTCATTAAGCCACAATGAATAATGGCTTCACAACATTACCATTCACGTGCAGCCAGGGGTTTTGTTTCCGTTTCTAATTTCTAGTTGTTGTTGTTTGTTTGCTTGTTTCAAAAAAACGTTCAATACAGAAAGTCTAAAATCAAAAAGTCAAAATCTATTTTTGTTTTTTTCCCAACAGACACTGCAGGTACTTACTGTGGTAAGCTGTGCGATTGCTTGTAAACACTTATGGCCTCTTCAATGCTGCTTTCCACTTTTTTCTGGATAAAATAAAGAGGAGAGTGTGATAATTA